CAGGAATTTTGCCCTTGAATAGTTTCAATCGATGTGTTTATCTCCATCTGTATCGATCTATCTATCTCTCATCTATCTATCTGTCTGTCTGTCTGACTGTCTGTCAGTCTGTCCATCTGTCCATCCGTCCATCAGTCCATCCATCCATCCATCCATCCTACATTCCATCTTTCTGTTTGGAATGTACCTTCAGGGCAACAAAGAAATACAAAATACAAGATAAGTATAAATAATTGTATTTATGTATTTATAAACAATACAATATAACATAATAATATAGCTATTGAACCTTGAAGAGCTGCCTAAAGAGGTACTGTATGTCTTTAAAGATTTTCTGAAGGAAGAGAAGATGAAGACTAAATGCCGTTCACAAGGACTTGACTAACACATCCTGGGAATGAACCACATCACTGAGACTCTGAAAGCAACATATTTATTTGGCTGTCCTTTAAGAGTCAGGCCCCATTACACCTCCATAGCATCATATTGATCAAGTTCTGGCCACAGTTAGGGAGGCTGGAATAGGAGCCACTGAAAAAAGAAGAGGATTTCGCTTCAGGGATAATGGAGACGGGGTGTACATGTTATCAGGCCTCTCCAAAATCTTGAGATTGTCCTTGACTGGGTGGGGTTGGGAGCATTATTTATGAAACAGGGAGAAAGCTGGAAGATGTCCTAGATCACTGCTGCCACAAGGAAGAGCAATGGGCTGTCACCTCACCATTCATCTAGTTCCCACCTAGAGGCCATCTCAAGAATCACTGTGCATCTACTCAGGCTTCAGCAGAAATAGCTTCCAGGTTACAGTATTTCCACCTAGATGTATGAGCTTTGGAGAACTTGAAATCAGTTTGGCCCCATGATACCTGCAAATATGGAATGGCACATGGTCCAAAAGCAGGTTGGAATAGAGCTGCTGGGCGTTCCATACACATATAAATATCTCAGCCACTAGCAATGGCATCATCTGTAAAAGGATCAGCTGAAGCTCTAGCATAAGAAATCAGATTCAGAAATCAGTTTTCTGAAAAATGCCTGGATTGGGGCTGAAACTGCTGAGGTTATAAATAATATCTTGTAGCAGTCTGGGAAGAAGGCATTTCCTAAGATGCATTTGTATAAATGCATACATTAACAGTGACACTGGCAAATTGCACAAAGTTGTAACTTAGCTACACAATATTGTTGCTGTTATAATTATGCTTTCATCACCGGCTTAATTACAAAGTCATATTTCATTATGGAGATAGAGGAAGAGAACATGAGAGCAGTAAATTTTTATTCAACACAGTTCAGTGTAATTCAAGCATTCTCAGCTTCCTTAGTACAACATCAGCAGTTATTTGCAGAGGCTTATGGCTGAATAATAAACATGCCTCTCATTTGGGAACAGGAAAATCTCACAAGCCTTTAACAATGCTCCTAGCCCAACATTTCCACACCACTGGCTATCTGATGTGAATATAAGAGCAACTGTAGGTTATGAGAGAGGGTCATAGGTCCATGTAGAACATCTTCTTCACATCACAGCATCTGAAGTTGATCCCCATGGTCTCTGTTTCAGGGGATCAAGTTGTAAGTGACCTCAGCAGACTGAGATCATGAAAAATAACTGCCAGTCAGAATACATAAAATTGAACAAAAGAAACAAGGACATAGGGAAGGACCATAGCTTAGTGGTTTAGAACACATTTTACATATGAAACTTCTAAAAATTAATTTCCCAGCATCTCCAGGTAAAGCTGAAGAAACTTCTACCTGAAACCTTGCAGGGTTTTAGTTTCAGGCTACGAGACCTTGGTTGCAAAAATTCAGATAGCCAAGTGCTAGGAGTTTTCTGTCTCCTTCAGGCCCTGGCTGAGTTCCCGATCCTGGAGTCCTAAGAGTTTCAGATGTTCCTACTAGTCTCACCTTATTGCCATGATACGTTTAATGTCCATTCTGGTAAATAACAGAGTCATTCTCCACATGCTGGGTTTATTTGAATATTGGGAGGAATCCGTATGCAAACTAAGATTTGGGGTTCAGCATAAAACCCTTTGCACTCTCCTAAACATTCTTCCTTGGTGGTTAAGTTACAGAAATATCACAACATTCTCATCTCTGGCTGTTTTGCTCGCAAATTGCCCTTTCAAACCGCGTTCACGGCAGTCTGTGCCCATTCACCCTGCTAAGCTGGTGCCTCTATGCACGGTGAGTGATATTTATGCACCAGATAGAAAAGCTTGGTTGGTGAATGCTACTGAGAGAAGAGATTAAGTCAGAGAGCAGATTTAAATGTTCCCAGGGAGTCTGTCCCCTTCTGTTTTGTTTTGCTTGCTTCTGCTCAGCCCTCACCGACTACTTCTCTGGTGTTTAAAAACTGTAAAACCAAATTCTTGGCTGAATATGCAAATGGGTGGCCACCAAAACTTAAAGGCTCTCCGGCGTGACTCCTGCAATGAAAATAGGAAAGGCATAGCACCCAAAGCTGAAAGAAACACATCAATCACCCACCCGTCCAACATTTCACAGATAAAAATAGAAACGCTTGAGATGCATATTTCTATTTTCACACGAGATCAGAGGTGGACAGATATTTTTTCCCAGGTCCTTCCGTTAGAGACTACCAGATCTGGACTGCAAATGAGCACTGTGTGTGTCAGCAGGTAAAACTCTGGTTTTGGCTAGATTTTTGCAGATCTTCTCAGATACACAAGGTGTTTTAAACAGGCCACCAAGATTTTTTTTTTCAACTGTTCCCAAAGGCACACCCTGGGAATCTCTATATTCACCATTTTAACCTTGGTTAGTTTTGGCGGGGGCTTAGTGTGTTGTGGGAACCCAGCTTGCTTGGTTTACAGGTCACTATATTATGCAGTCTTGAAAAAGGTTGCATGTTCTGCGGTGTGAATGGAACTTGGGGGTTATTTTTACCCCCAAGCAAAATAGATCAGCATTTTTTATTATCAAGGGCCATCTTTCCTCAGGAGTAATCTGCTTGGGGTCAAACTGGGCTGAACGTTTCCAAGCAGTTGAAGGCACTCATTTGGAAACACTTTTCTTTTCTCTTTCTGACACGTTCCTTCTTCTTCTTTTTTTGTTTTTCTCTTCCCCCCCCCCCCCCCAGTTTCCAGTTTCAGGGAAGGAACAGAGAACTATTTCAGAGGTATGACTCCGTCTGTGCAGATTTTCAAGGAAACCCTTTTCTTTAGGGAAGAATTGAGCGAAACCATCTTGTAAGATGCTTTGTGAAGAACAAGTCTTCCTGGCTCCTAACGGCGAAGCAAAGGGCCCACATATCTTCATTCTACTTACCTCCTCTGACATTTGCAAGAGCCCTGTATTGAAAGCCTCTTTTGGCTTTTGCAAATGCTGGAAGAAGCTGCGAAGAGGCTGGTCGCCTCTTTGAAGCCAATCAAAGCTGCCTTGGGTAGGCCAAATGTGAACTGCAATCTTGTGGAGGGCTTTTGAAATTAGGCCAAAGACCTCATGCAGCTTGGTAGATTGCCCTACGCGGCCCTCAGCTGTTTCTTCTGGTATGCATTTGATCAACAGCTAAATGGTAGATATTTTAAGGTGGTCTTTTTGCAAGCATTTTCACCTAAAGGGTACCTTTTTTTTTTTTTTTTTTGATATGGTCAGACTCAAGGTCAACCGCTCACAGATGCATATCTGAAATTCGTTACACCTAAGTCACTGCTTCTGTGATGAGATGGAAAATGGGTGGGAATGAAATGTGTGGAATAACACCCTTTAGGCTTGATCCAGGTAGCTCATTAAGGACTGTATTTTTGGTAGCCTTCAGAGGTTCAGTTGGATTCTAGTTTCTCATTCCTAATTCCCTCAAATGTTCCTCTGAGCCAAACTTCTCATTCATTTGGAGACTATGTTCCTCACGGAAGATTTAAAACAAGAGCAAACAAAGAAACTGGTTTTGAATGGCGGGGGATCAACTATTTTACATGCTCTGGCAAAAATTCATGCTGTACACGATGGTGGCTTTACAACCAGCAGTTAAGACTGAAACTTCCCTCAACTGAAAAGGAAGAGTGAACCCTCAAGTGGAAAAAACCCAAACCAAATAGAACCACAGAGGCCACACAAATGGCTTACAAAACTAAATCAGCCTGGCAAAGAACATGGATTGGCTGTCCCCCCTCCCAAATAATAACAACAACAACAACGTCTGGGAAAGGATTCATAGACTTTTGGAATTTGTATTCAGAGAGAATCAAAAAGACCAAACAAGTAGAGGGGTAAAAAACATGTTCGTGGATGGAAGAGTGTTACGTGGCCACAGTGAGTTATGTAGGCTCAAAGACCCTGCATTTAGGAGTCACAGAAGATGCATTCCCACCCATTTAGCTGGGTTTGATCACTTTTATTAGGACTTGGCACACCTTGAAAATAATTTAGCAGAAGAGCTTTGGACTTTGGACTTCAACCATAAGAAAGTCTAAAGAACCTCTTCCAAAGTGTTTCTGAAGAGCCCTTGCCCTAGTTTTTAGCTCCCTCCTGAGTGAACTTGACACTTGGAGGGGTGGTTGTATTAGTTGGGAATTCTCACTATTGTTGTCAAAAGCATTTGGTGGACCCCTTGGGTTGTAAGCCTTCTTAGATACTTTGCCATCCTTCTGAGTCTGAATTGGAAGGATGGGGATTCACAACCCAGGAATTTGGGATTACCAGATTGAGAAAGGCTGTGCTGGGCCTTGCAACTTCCCCCTCCAGACCCCTCCCCGCAGCATTTAGGCTGGGCACATCAAATCCCTTCCAGGCTCCATTAAAACCCATCAGTGGAGAACAGAAGGACTATGTCCACAGAAGATGCTTCACCATGTCAGTGAAGGAGGTAGCCCTAGTGCTTGCCTTATGTGTTAAGCTTAAAATTTTTAACTTTGGTTATTAATTTATTGGCAGCTTAACTGCTGTGCAAACCCCGGTTTTTGGATTAGACTGTGGTTCAATATATCGCATGGACTCAGAAAACAGGTTAATTCAGTACTTGGATTTCTTCTTGAGTGCTCTGGGCCTGACACCACATTGGCTCCATCAGTTTTACAGCAAGTGCTGGACTTTTTATCTTCTTTGGTTTCCAAGACCAGAGCAAATGCTGTTGGACCCTCCACCTCTGAGCTCACAATTGATATGGGAACTCCTCAATTCCATCTGCATTGGAGTCCATGAGTTTCAGCATATACCAGAGTAGCAAGATCGGGGCTGGAAAACTCCAGAGGACCACTAGATGCCACAAAAGTTGGAGTTTTCTGTAGCCCTTTGCCGCCATTCAGTGTTTTTCAGGATAACGTGGTCATCCTAGCATATATGTCTCATCTTAAAGGGCTAAACAAGTAGAGCATCTGGATCATCTTTGGAACGAAGGTGTTATCCAGACAGCACGTGTAACAGAGTAAGGCCTTTCTTTTGTCATTTTTAACCCATGTTAGTGCCTTAACACACTCATTACCCACTGATGAATAGAGGGTTCTGTTCTTTGCCCATACCCCCATGGATTGGCCACATTCCTGCTAAGTACCAAGAAAGTGCCTTGTTTTCTTTCTCAGGCAGCTTCTATGCTTGGTTAATTTCACTCCAACTTGGGGTTGCCGTTGTCAACCATGGTGGGGCTTCTCCCTGCTGGCCCACTTGAGGATTAGCATTGCAATTAGGAGCTAGTGTCCACTCATAATATCATTTTACTTTAGTGGTCTATGGAGAAGACACTTTCCTTTCCCCTTGCCAATCACCCAAGGACCTCTTTCAGATGTGACAAACTCATTGTGTTTACTTCAAGATCCGAGAGAGACTTTTTCTCATGCATCTCTTTCTTGTTAAACAATCTTGGATAAACCTTGCTCAAAACGTGTTCTACCAGCTCCATCTGTCAGGACTAATAATTGGTTTTGGCTCCAGTGTTTAAGCCAGAGCTGCAGTTGAGCATATGTTAGTCTTGGAGAGAAGGGAAAACAGTAAAAGGCTTATGAAGATTTCCGCATGGAAGAGAGGTCAATACATGCTCCGAACAGGCATTTTTGTTCAACATTCATTTTACTGCAGTGTGTTTTCCCCCTTGTTTAAGGAAATTTGGTTTCCTTAAACACTGGAAAAAATTCAGAAATGGTATACAGGTTCAGCTGTTGGTTCTGCTGAATTTGACCCGAGACCCTAGACCAACCTCAGTTTTTCCAAAATGGTCTGCACTGATAACTAGTTGGGTAACAAAATGTCTGCAAGGAAACCAGCAGGCTCAGAGAGCACCAAGAACTCCACAGTTCATCCCTGAGCTACAGAGGTTCTCTTCCATTGTCCAGCAAGCTGAATATGAAGCAATCTATTTATCCTTATTAGCTGGGTTTAGAGGTATATCGCCTCTGTACCTGGAGCTTCAGTTTGGGTTTTGGTGGTCAATCATATCAATAGACCAATCTGATATGAGATTGATCTTGCTGGATTGGATCAAATCAGCATCCTTGTTTTCCCAGGGCCAACCAGATGCCTCTTTGAAACTCCAGGAGGGGCTCTGAGAATGGGGAGCCCATCTTCCAATGCTTGGCTTCTTAGGAACTGTTCTCCAATAACAGATCATATTTCTGAGCCTGGAATTTCCATTTCATACTGGCAAAGTATGGGGAAAGGCTTGTTCCGTAGAAGAACAAGTTAATGCTTAACTCATGCCAGCTAAAATGCATCTTCTGGGAGGCCTGCGAAAGAGCCTTGGTGGATTCTGACTAAGCATATGCTCAGGTGACTTCTCTTTGCCAGGCTTCATTTTTCCTCGGTAATTGCTAACATGTTCAGTTGCCAATTTATCAAGTTTGTTAAGTGGCGTTGCAGGAAAGCAGAGGCATTGAATCTTCTGATCCAGATTGTGATAGATCTCCTTTCAGAAGGCAATGACAAGGTTTCTAATCTTCTGGGAGATGGTGTGATAAAGCAAATTTCATTCCCCCACATGCTCGCACCTATTTATGTGATAGCCATGCACAGCACATGGAAGACTACTAGAGACTACTGACCAATGCGGCCATCAAGATCAACCTCTTGCTGGAATCCAAAGGAATGCATCAACCACATTTGGGTGTCTAGTCTCTACCTGAACATATCCAGTGAATGGGATGTGTCTTAGAATACCTTTTACTGCTTTCTCAACTTTTCAGCTGGGGTCTCCCTTCCTGTAACTGAAATTCATTATTCAATGTCCTGCACTCTATGAGGACTGAGAACAGGTCTTGGTATCTTCTGTGTAATGTCCTTTCAAGGAGTTGGAAGACTGCTGTCATATCCCCCGCTCAGTCTTTGGATCTGTTCTGCCAGTAGTTGGCACAGTTGCACATAGGAATGTGCACCCTAATCTATGTGTGTGGCCTAGGCTCTACTGTGTCTAGGCCACACACCTAACATGCCAAAACTCTACTGTGGAATGTCTACTTGCTTCTTGTAAGTTCAAGAAAGCCACAAGGAAAAGGAGCTAAACAAAAAATGAGGCATTTTCTGCCTGTTGGTTTCAAATGCCATGTGCAGTCCTAGATTACATTTGCAGGTGGACTTAGAAGTGTTACTGGTGACTGCTTTCAATCCAAACCATGCTGAGAGATTGATGGATATGTTAAAGGAAGACCTGCCAACTTTCTGGAGAGCAACGGCTGAACACTTCATTCCTTTGGAATTTAAAGCTTCACTTCGTTTGCAAATTAAATCCTCAATCAGAGTAGATTTTCTTCAAAATATCAGGGCAAGTGTAGAAATGGGCAAGCAAAAACACTGGGTCATCCTGTCCTGTTAGAGACATCTTCCCCAAGGTATATCATGAAAGTATGATATACCTTGGGGAAGATGTCTCTAACAGGACAGGATGACCCAGTGTTTTTCTTACAAGGGTGTTGGTGGAATACAGCCTCTTCCTTTGGATGAGTGAAAGGAAGTTTTGATTTCCTTGAATATTGGTTCTGTTCCAAATTCCTCATTTACGTGGTTAGATTGGTTGGGGATGAGGGTCAGATCTTCTTAATCATAGCATCTCTGCTGTCCTCTGTATTGAATCTAGCAGCTCCATTTTCTCTTTTGAGTTTGTCTGGCAAACACATTGGGGGTGATGGGAAACATAGCCTGGGGGGAGGTGTAGGAAACACTTAACTCTGTCCTCCATTGCAGAAGAAGAGCAAAGGAATTAGCCAGCTTGAAGGAGTCATCTTCAAGTTGGACCAGCATGGCTCAAATTACAGCTTCCTCTCTAAGAACTGCCTTTCATGTTATACCCCAGGCAAAGTAGGAAATGGTCTTTTCATGGTCCACCTGGGTCCAGCTATGCCACACACTGCATACATCCAGTTATGCTTCTAGCCTTATCCATTGGTTTCAACATTACTACAACCATACGCTATTCCAGAAATGCCGAAGAAGAAAAGAGGACATCTATAAGCAGGCTTGTGGAAAACTAGCCTCCAGCGTGGAGGGGAAAGGATTTAGTTTGGAAAGTAGAAACCAGGATACTTGATATTTTGACCAAACATGGCTCTTCTTTGTTTGTTGGTTTTAATTCTAATAAAACCCTTCCTCTTTTCTTTGTTGATTTCCCTAGTGCTGATGAGCGCTTTGATGCTACCTTCCATACAAACGTTTTGGTCAACTCTTCAGGATACTGTCAGTATCTCCCTCCAGGTATGAATTATTGGGATCCTGGGAAAATTAACACCAGTCCCAGGGCTCCTGGCATGCTTCCAGCTGTGAGATGTGAAGCTTGGGAGTTAGATAACCTCTCCCTTGATTTTCTGCTGTTATCCCAGCTGTGACTTCAGTAAGATCATGGGGATAGATAGAAACACATTTTCAGGTCAGTTGTCCTTCAAACTTACAGAGATGCCAAGATAGTCATGGCAGGATTAATTTTTAGAACTATTTACAGATAAGGAATTGGGACATATGAAGTCATTCTCTTGGAGCACACATGCCGGAGACAATCTTGCTGGAAATATGTAAACAAAGATCACAGAAATAGAATGAAAAACAAAATAATAGTTGCAAGAAGGGAAAAACAGAACAAATGGTACTGAAAGGAATCAATGTGATACTAGTAATGTTGCTAGTTTGTGCTATTTTGCAGGGAACATGCATTAACAATATTTTTAAACAAATCAGTTGTAAATTTGGGAGGGCAGAAATTTCTCATTTGGACAGCTGCTTTTTTTTTAAGTGAATGGTTGACTCCTTCCTTCCTTCCTTCCTTCCTTCCTTCCTTCCTTCCTTCCTTCCTTCCTTCCTTCCTTCCTTCCTTCCTTCCTTCCTCAATTTAGGGATTTTCAAGAGCTCATGCTCCATTGATGTCCGCTGGTTTCCTTTTGATGTCCAGAAGTGTAAATTGAAGTTTGGATCATGGACTTATGGAGGCTGGTCTCTTGATCTGCAAATGCAAGAAGCAGAAATCTCTGGATACATTTCGAATGGAGAATGGGATTTAGTTGGTAAGCGAAATCTGTGGATCTTCTTTGGAAACATGATTTTGTTTTTCCAGTTTAATTGGGGATGACTCCCAATCCTATAAAACCAACGTCATGCAAAAAAACAACAACAACACACACACACACAACCCAGAAACAGAAACAGAGGAACAAAAATGCACAGTCATAGCCAACAAGTTGACTCTTTATGACCATACTCTGTGGATACCTGCCACCAGGAAATCTGAGGGCTGAAGATGAGAGGCAGTAGACAAACTACTTGGGTATGGTTGCCAAGAAAACTATGCATCCATAAAGTCAGCATGCCCTGAAGAAGATTTTCCGTTTAAGACTGTTCAGGGATCTACAGCTCCATGATGCACCAAGAGCAGGGCGGTGGGAGTGATCCATGCTGGGTGCAGGTAATAAGGGGGGGCATTATTTGAGGAGGCCATCCAGAGGGTCTGCAGTGGGTGTGGATTTGGGTCGCTGCTACTGGTGTGTGGATCAGCTGTTTGGTGGTCAGCAGCACAGCACAGCACAGCCATGGAGCAAAATGGGCTGCTGGTGGTGCGGTTGGGCCAACCTGGATCCTGCAGCTGCTGCTTGGCCCCCTCGCCTACTCCTGGTGTCAAATATGCTTTGAAAGGTCTTCCAAAAAATGACCAAGTATTGAGAATTGCCAGGGCTGGAACAAGAAACCTAAAAAACTCAGTAGTGTTGTCCTACCTGGGGAATCATTATGGCAGTGAGGAAGTTCAGCAGATGCTGCTTTACTGCACCCTATATGGAAAGTTGTGTTTTTATTGCCCCATTATAAAAACATGACAGATGCGGGGTGGGCTGATATCTTGATTTGATACTTCTTAATTGTCCATATTACTGATAGTTCATTAAGAGCAGCCCAAGTTTTGTGTGGCTGCCAATTTGAACAGGAAGTATTTTTCATTGGAGGCCTCTCCGATTCCTATATATAGTTGTAATTTAGTAAGTTGGAAGATGAAAAGTATGCCACTTTGTCAGTCTTTCTGATGAGAGTTAATAACAAAGCACCAGACCAGGGAATAGTTCTGCAATCTCCGTAGCTGATTTATGAAAGATGGCATGAGCGATATAGCTGTTTTATAAAAACAGCTATATCGCTCATGCCATCTTTCATAAATGAAGTTGGATATTTTGAAGTTGGAAAGAGTTAGATATTTTGATTTTTTTTTCATCTTCCCTTTGCTCTACTCTTCTATATTTGCTGAACGGGCTGGTCGCAATGCATTGATTCATTTTGATTGTTCTTCTTCTTCAAAATAAGTAGGAATGAAACTATGGTCTGGGTTAAAATATGTCCACAGCTTGGCAGCCAAGACTAAAGACGTACAGATGACAGCAAAATGGAGCTGACGTTTGGCAAGTGAGGAAAATAAACAGTTTGCTAATATGGAAATAACAGCGATGCAACAATTACAATAATGATAATAACTTATATTGCACTTAAAAATTCAACATGGAACAGTAATAAAGAAGTATCAGTTAAATAAGAATATACAAAAATATAAAGTAGATACACTAGGATGTCAGTATGGTGTAGTGGTTAGGGTGACCTTGGGCCAGTCACTCCCCCTTGGCCCGAATCAGCATCAGGTTCTAGGACAGGCGGCTGATAAAGAAAAGTCCTTGCCACGTTATGCATCAGTGGGTGGCTTGACTGCATGCACTACACAAGTGTAATGCAAAAACAAATAGGACAAACACTGAGAAAAATGTCAACAACAATGTAGACATATCAAAAATCTAAGCAACTCAAACCGTAGGGGAGTAGTGGAATACCAGCTAGGTGACTACTTTGCAATAGAAAGAATAGATAAATTGGATTGATTGATTGATTGATTGATTGATTGATTGGTTGGTTGGTTGGTTGGTTGTTTGATTATGTGCCATCAAGTAACTGTTGACTTCTAGCAACCACATAGATTTTCTCCAGGATGATCTGTCCCCAACCTGGTCCTTCAGGTCTTCCAAGGGTGCACCCATTGCAACTAAATGAGTCCATTCACCTTGCTGCTGGTCATCCTCTTCTTCTCTCCTTCCACTTTTCCCAGTATTAGAGCCTTCTCCAGAGAGCTGGGTCTTCGGATAATGGGTACAAAGTAGGATAATTTGAGCCTGGTCATTTGTGCCTCGAGTGAGAACTCGACAATCCATTTATTCATTTTCTTGATAGATAAATTGAAACCTACCGGCAATATAACTAAGCCAATTCAAATTAAGCAATGCACAATATAAAAACCAAAGAACCCTCTACCTGGGGCCAGTCCAGAAGCCAGAAGTCCTGAATCAGGGGAGACCCCTACTCCCCAGATTCCAACAAGAAGGTTTTAAGCCCAGGTTTAAGGGCTGAGAAGCCAGCCATCATCTGAAGTGAGAGCCAGTTCCAAAGCCGAAATGTGACTCAGGGGCTCAAGGCAGTAAATGTGGTTTTCTTCCCCCTTCCCTGTGTTATCCTTCCAACAACCCTACAGGAAATCCATGACTGTTCCAAATGTATCTCAGGGAGCTTGCACTACCTGAGTGAAGTCTCTTTTCCCTCCTTGAAGATTTGAAAAAATAACTGGCCACGTTCATACCTTACAAAGGGTGGCATGACATGAAGGCTGAGCTTTCAGTCACAGGACTATTTGATTAGGCCTGATCTAGGTGGACTCCAGTGGCTGGCCCATCTTCATTTTTGCTCTTCCCATACAGGAGTTCCTGGCAAGAGGACCGAATCCTTCTATGACTGTTGCAAAGAACCATATCCAGATGTGACCTTTACAGTCACAATGCGACGGAGAACGTTGTATTACGGACTTAATCTCCTCATCCCTTGCGTCCTGATCTCAGCTCTCGCCCTTCTGGTTTTTCTGCTTCCAGCTGACTCTGGAGAGAAAATTTCGCTTGGTAAACAGATGACTCTGTTTGTTTTGAAGCAGGAGCCTTTCCCCTCTGTTTTTCACTCTGAAGGTCGCCTTCATCTTTTAGCTTCTGGAAAACAGGTAGAAGGAAACTTTCATGAAATCACAGAAGAACTGGATCAGGAGTGGGGAATGAAGAAAAGTTAAACCAACAGCTGAGGAAACTGTAGTCCATATAATTTTTATAACCTTAGACCTTTTAAAAAATGCAGGTTTCTTTTAAGTTGGTCACCTGGTGAACTTCATTTGCTGACTGGCAAAGAGGAGAACTGAGTTTTTGCTTCCAATTCTTAAGAGTTGCTACATCCAGACTGCAAAAATCCAGATGAACACTAGGTTGTAGCAAAGAGTTTCCTTTAATTATTTGCTGCCTTCCAATAGTCATCTGGATTTTGGGAGCCAGATATGATAATCTAGTCTTATTCTTGCCATTAGCAGAAGGAATTCAGCCGTTCTAAGCTGGGACAATGGAATTAAACATTTTGATTCCCACAATGCTGGTGGGCAGATCTGAGCAAGACAGAATAACTTTGCTAAAGATGCTGCTATGTCCACAGCAGAACTGAGATTCAGACCAGGCACTTCCAAATTTTCTTTTTATATTAATTTTTTTTATTACAAAAAAAAAAAAGGGAAAGAAATACATACAAGTGCTTTAACATAAAAGTGAACAAATACAACAAAAAAAGGTTAATATATCATTATAATAGTACAGTTCCAGTTCTATTTATGCTTATCTAATACAAATGTTATTCAAGTGTATATATACTTCTAATAGAGTTATATGACTATCCTATTGTTGTTGTTTTTTAAACCCAGTGTATTTTTGTATAAGTGAGTCCCATATTTCATTATACTTGTCCAGGCATTTCCGGATTTGTAGCTTCTTTGTAACCTACTCAGAAGCAAGCCCAATTCTGCTCAATGAGAATGGCTCCCAGGTAAACGCATAGAGGATTACAACTGCCTCCTTGCTGGAGTTTCCCCAATGAAGAGTGTAGACATAGCCCCAGTTTTACATCCTTATCTCATAATTCTATAAAAACTTGAGTTAATGTATGTGCGCAGCAATTGTTTGAAAAAGAAAAAAGACTCTAAGGAAGATTCATTTTGGGACTCCAATTTGGCATGTTTCTCTGTTGAGTAGATAAGCAATGCCAAAGGTCAGCATTTGCAACCTTGCATCGTCATCATCATCATCATCATCATCATCATCATCATCATCATCATCGTCATTGTCATTGTCATCGTCATCATCGTCATGATGTATGGGCTTTTTCCAAATCCATATTGCACA